GTTTTATGAACTCTACACAGGCAGTAGCTGCAGTACTTGATTCAGATACAGAATCTGATGCCGAAGAATCATCTGGTGATGAATATAGACCAAATGTGTCAGAATTAAATCAGGAATCAAGCAGTGAAGAAGGTATTTTTTTTAATTTTAGCTTACTATGACATTTGAAGTCAAGGTCAATGAAGTGAGCCTTGATAAAATATTTTTTTTTTTCTGAATTATGTCAAATTTGCATACTTGGGTGTGATTTATAGGAGTTCTCAAGCTTATATATTATATTCTTTAGAGTAATCGGGGACTAGGGTATAGGGGATTAAGTAAAAAAAAATGGGGAGGGGGGGAAGGGAGGGTATTAGTTTTATTTAAGTTTAGGTAAAGAATAAGAGATGACATTGTGATGGGGGTGTTGGTTAGTCTTATTAAAGTTTTGGTAATAAATACACTGGTTTAGTAAAATATTGCAATGAAATAGGGCATATTGGGGGGGGGGGGTGAATGGGAGAGAGAGTTAGTAAGTTTGGGTAAAGAATAAACTGGTTAAATAAAAGACCATTAAATGGCAATGTAATAGACCTTTGGGCGCAGTGTAATAGTGCTTATTTCGGAGTGTGTTTTAGGAGTGGGGTGGGGTGGGGCCGAGGTAGGTCTTGTGGGAGGCGAGGGGGTATTGTGATAGGGTTGGTTAGTTTTATTAAAGTTTGGATAAAGAATAAACTGGTTTAGTAAGGGATGACAATGTAATAGAGCCTTTCGGGTGTTTTATGGACGCAGCGTAATATAGGTTGTTGGTGTGTGTGTGTGTGGGGGGGGGGGCGTCATGTAAGCTAGTTTTAATAAAGTTGGGTAAACATTAAACTGGTTTTGTAAGAGATGGTAATGTAAGTGACCTATGGATTGAGTGCTGAAAGCGGTATTGACCAGGGGTGCGACAGATAACATAGTATAATTGACAAATAGCCTATAAGAGGTCGGGAATTGGGGTGCTTTTAATGGACGCAGCGTAATAGGGATTATTTAAATTCACAAAATATTTACCTCCTGTGCTAATAATATTGTTTATGCCCGTCATTACAATCTTCCTGTTCTTTCTATTTTAGATGCCGAGAAGTCCACTGACGTTTTGACAAAAACCAAAGATGGCATGAGAGGAATGTTAAGTGATATAACGCCTGAAAACAACATTGCTGAGCCAAACGAAAGAGGACGAAAAAGAACAAGAAATGAAGACAATTGGCAACAAAATATAAGAAAGAGAGCTCGAAATTGCGGCGAAGAATACCTAACAAGAGAGAACAAAAAGGTCGAAAAAAGAAAAAGAAAATATCATCGTTGTGGCAGATGTGTCAACCGATGCAATGAACATTTCCCAGATGCTCAGCGTGATATCGTCTTTATGAATTACTGGAAAATGGGCAATAGGCAGAGACAGCGTGACTACATCGCAAATCATGTTAGAAGCAAGCCGACTAAAAGAAATTCAAACCCTGGACGTAAACGAAAACAAACGCTTCAGTATTTTGTAACAGTTGGTAATTCAAAAGTCAAAGTTTTTTTGAAAACACTTGGAATTGGGGAAAAAACCGTTACATACACACTCCAACACAGAGATGAGACAGGTCAAGCTTGTACTGACAAGCGCGGGAAGCAAGCCCCAGGAATAAAGAAATCTGATGAAATAAGAAACTCAGTCAAGATGCATATTTCCTCGTTTCCTCATATGGAATCGCATTATGTGAGAAACAAGACAAGCAGGAAATATCTTGAGAAAAGTTTAACTGTTAGTAAAATGCATGAACTCTACCAAGAAGAACATGAAAATAATCAACCAAAACAAGTTAAACTAAAGTATTACAGGGATGTGTTCAATACAGAATTTAACTTATCATTCCATAAACCTAAGAAGGATGTGTGTAATTTTTGCTTTTCCTATAATAATTCGTCTAAGCAAGAGCAACTTGAAAAACAGGATGACTACGACAACCACCACTCTCGCAAAACTCGAGTTAGACAATTAAAAGCCGAACACAAAGCTCTAGCTAAAGAAGATAAAAGTATACGTGCAGTAACTTTTGATTTAGAGTAGGTATTGCTTAGTCCTAAATTGAATGTTTCGTCTTTATTTTACCGTCGTAAAACTGTCCACATATAATTCGACTGTTTATGATCTCGCCAGCCATGATGTGACCTGTTACACGTGGCACGAAGGTGTTGCCGGACGTGGAAGTTGTGAGATTTCAAGCAGTATCAGCAGTTACTTCAATCAATTACCAATAGAGGTTAAGCGTGTAATTTTGTACTCAGATACATGCTCCGGTCAGAACCGGAATCAGTTTTTTACAGCCATGTGCTTACATGTTATTAAGGACTTAAACATAGATTGCATTGATCATCTGTATATGGAGTCCGGTCACAGTCAAATGGAGTGCGACTCATCACACTCGACCATCGAGTATGCTTTTAGAAACCAGGATGTTTACAGCCCTTTAGATTACTATCGTATCGTAGCCATGGCAAGACGTGAAAATCCATTTGAAGTAAGGCTCCTGTCTACCAAGGACATAACCGATTACAAAACATATAGTAGACAAATCATCCGAAATCGAAGCAAAGATGTGGACGGAAATACAATTCAGTGGTTAAAGTTGAAGTGGATGCGATATTTAAAATCATCCCCAGACACCGTTTACTTCAAGTATGATTATGATGCTGAATTTAAAGCTATGCGAGTAAACCAAGGTCTACGGATAGATTCAGATATTACTTTAAAACCCTTGTTTCAAGAGGCACCTCGTATCTCAAAGGCAAAGTATGATGATTTGAGGTTCCTATGCACCTCCTTAGCAATACCCCGAGATTACCATTCTTTTTACGAGAAGCTCAATTTTGATGGCAAGATAGTTGATGCCCTGACTGAACCCGATGCAGACGAAACTGGCCCAGCTGATTCCGAATTTGAATAGTTATTAAATGTTATTACCTTTATGGTTATCTGTTAAAACGTTTGAAATATATGTGAAATTTGTTTGTTAACATTTTTCTGTTAATAAACTAATGTTTTGACACTTGTAATCTTTTCGATGTAGGCCTATTGTTCAATAATAAAAGGTCGTAAGTGTTCCTAACTAGTTTCATTTTCTACAAGTATTGAGTAAAGTAAGGTCGTAAGTGAAATTTTGAGCAGAAAACACCTGAAAACCGGTGTGTGATATTTGCATGTTAAACTGTTAGAGGAGTTATGGTTAAGTTTCAAAAAGCTAAAAAAAATATTAAAACATCATTTAGTGATGTTATTTTGAAACCTTTAAATGCGATTATCTCGAAATGAAATAATTGTCACTCACGACCTTATCTTACTCAAGGGACGACGTATCCATCTAGATTTATTCTGTTTTAAATCCTAAAATGCAGTTCGGGTAGTTAGTTATTCACAGCTAATAATACAATTATATTTATGTTTTCCAGCTGTTTGGTGTTTTCCTGACTTACTTGTTTGTTGTCATCCAGTTTTCCCTCTGAATTATGTACCATAGACGGAAATAGAAAAGCGGCGAATTCAGATATTTCTGAATATTCTACAATTTTACAGAAACTCTTAAAACCCATCCCTGGCAGGATATTAAATGATATATAACAGACATGGTGGTGGTGTGTATATCGAAGACTCTAATGAGCCATTTTAGACTTCCGATATGGACTGGACTAACAAGGTGCGAGCGACTATACTACCATTCAATGTGGGTAGCTCACGTATTTCGACGAACAAAACTGATAAGAAATTGCAATAAAAGTTTTAAAAAATGAATGTAACTAAGTTTATAGAAGTGTTTTTTTACCCATTTTAGGTTCCGAAGAATAAAATTTTAACTCCTTTAAGTGCGAGACGACTGGCATGTCCCGGATTTGAATCTGGGTATGGGCACAGAAGGCCATTCTCCTTGTCACGTACAAGCTTAGGATCGAAACCTCTCAACTTGACTCAATGGCAAATCTTATCTTCAACAAAAGAAATGAAATAAAATGGGGTTTAACGTCCTACTGTTTTGCTCCGAACTGGGCTAATGAAGACGGGCATATGCCATACAGTGTGCTATGGGGAAAATGTTGCCCGAACAGCGGCACTACGGCCTACTCTTATATCCTTTAAGTGCGAGACGACTGGCATGTCCCGGATTTGAATCTGGGTATGGGCACAGAAGGCCATTCTCCTTGTCACGTACAAGCTTAGGATCGAAACATCTCAACTTGACTCAATGGCAAATCTTATCTTCAACAAAAGAAATGAAATAAAATGGGGTTTAACGTCCTACTGTTTTGCTCCGAACTTGGCCAATGAAGACGGGCATATGCCATACAGTGTGCTATGGGGAAAATTTTGCCCGAACAGCGGCACTACGGCCTACTCTTATATCGAATTCCAACTGTCAAGGGATCTTTTACGTGCATGCCATTGTGTACACGGGACCTCGGTTTTTCGTCTCATCCGAATGGCTAGACAGTTGCCATTGTCAGGCCCTCCGTCCTGCATCACTGACAAGGGGTGGTGGGGGGGGGGGGCACGCCGGAAAATCTGGATGAACTTTCTCGGCCAATGCAGGGATAGAACACCCGACTTCCAGACGAGCGAGCCAGCGTCTTACCCACTTAGCCACCGTGACCGCCCTTCAACAAAAGAGATTTTTCTGATGAAATTCACTTGCGTATTCACACAAATACAATTTAAGGCATTTAAACAAATGCAGATACCCGTAACTCACTATCAGCCTACACCTCGCGATGCAACCTATGCCCCACTCAAATTTTCCCACGCCCCACCTTGGGAATCACTGGTCTAGAGAGTTGATTATATCCTTGACAGGTGAATAAATGTCTAGATAATCATTTATATAACATTTGAAGCCAGAGAAACTCCCTGCAATAGGCAAATATAGGTCTTACATAATGCATTTTTAAGCGTCGTGGGCAAAACATTATGTCCACATAATACAATATAACACCATATCTATACCACCAATAAAATATTTATTTTCAAATAATTTAACAAAAAAAACCCCCAAAAAATATTAATAATTTTAAATTCAAGTCAAATCAAATATATCAAAAGTCCAATTTTCTTTTTATCATAAAACTTTATTCTATAAACGGTTCTAGTTTGGTTTTCTACAATAGTCGGGGGTGGGGGCTGTATACATTTCTCTATTTCAGCAAAACTTTGGACGGTTGAAAAAACAATCTGGGTAACACTCCCAGTCCAAGTACAAATTAATAATAATGGTTTTACGCCAATCGCTAAAATAGCAAAATTCAATTTTCTTGGAATAATTCAAGAGTTGGCAACATTTGATATAACTGGAACATTTATTTATCATGTCTAGACATAACTAACATGTTAACCACGGTTTAACGCCAAAAAGTACACTATTAAGCCAAATTTTCCTCAAAAATCACATTCAGTTGGAAAGTAGCTCAAAATCCGACCCCTTCTCTTACACCTAATTTTGTAGATAAGCTACGAAAAGTGGTATTAACCTTAATTGGTTATATAAATTGGTCCAACATTGAATATAAGTGTGATATGAAGTTTGTTTTGGTGTCTATGCATCGGTTTTTGATAGCAAGCTATTCAGTGGGACCATATTCAACCCCTTTTAAATTGACACAATTTCAAAATGGCCGCCAAAACCTCCAGATTAACGCATCCGACAAAGTAAGTGTTGCATTATGTCTAATAGAGTTTTTTTGTATGGATTTTGGTTTTTCAGTCATGACATATCATTTTATCATTGTTTGGTCCGCTTTTACCTATCTAAATTGGTTACTTAACATAATTCAAGATATAGCCGCCCCAAGAGTAGTGAAATTTACAAGGAATGATAAGTCGCAACCAACCGTATCTCCTCCACAACCGACCTAATATCCTCCCCAACCAAACAATCCGTATTTTCTCCCAAACGTATCTCCCTTCCAACAGACCGTATTTACATAAATTCTTTTCTACAGCTATCTGTGCTGGCAGTGACGCATGCTTCTAAATATATCTATCAGTACCGACAACATATGCTTTTAGAGTATAGCTATTTGTACTGACAGTGACATCTACACTATAGATGTTTATACTGACAGTGACGTATGCTTCTAGAGTATGTCTATTTGTATTAACAGTGACATTTCGTGAGTATATAGCTATTTATACTGACCGTGAAATATATGTATGCTTCTAGACTAGAGTAATTTGTATTGACAGCGGCATATGCTATCAGATTACAGCTTTGTGCTGACAGTCATGTAAGCTTCTAGATTACAGCTATTAGTACTGACTGTGGCATATGCTTCTAGATTATAGCCATTTGTACTGACAGTGAGATATTCTAGATTATAGCTATTTGTACTGATAGTGGCATATGCTTCTAGATTACATGTATATAGCTATTTGTACTGACAGCCGCATATGCTTCTAGATTACAGCTATTTGTACTGACAGTGAGATATTCTAGATTATAGCTATTTGTACTGATAGTGACATATGCTTCTAGTCTATAGCTATTTATAGTGACAGCGATGAATGCTTCTAGACTATAGCTATTGGTTACTTGTTTTGATAATGACAAAATAAACCTGTTATTTACAAGAATTCTACTATATACTAACCAGCAACCCATTCTAAAAGTTACCATAGTAACAGTGTTATATCTATAATTTACCCTTTTACCCCAAGTGTTATCTACGAGATCTAATCTTTACTCCCACGAGGTTGGACAGGCAACCCTACTTCTTGTCACAGACAACTGGGGAATCGAAACCATGCCAGTTGACTCGATGACAGACATTATGATACAGCGCGCACACGCTAACCATTCAACCATCCAACCCCCCTAGGTCCCACAAGTAGTAAATCTGTCCCTGACACCTAGTGTTATTTACGAGATATACATATCTTTCTAACAGACGTAACTTTCAGAATGTTTGAAATAAAAGCCCCAAAAGATGTAATTTTAATGCAAATAGCTGCACCGGATGTAAAATTATTATTATTATTATTTCAAGTGATATTTATTTAGGTGTATGTACATTTATTCTGTTAAATTTGTAATCCTAAGATCTTTGTAATTATTGAATATGATTATTAAATATGAAAATTAAACAATTAAACTATGTATTACATGCAATTCCTTCGAATAATATCCCTTCACAACTTCGTTAATGTGAACTATTGGTTGCCAAATAATTCAATAATAAACAAAAGCCATTTAATTTTTCAATTCAAATTCTGTATTTGAGAAATGTAGAAACTTTGTATATATGATACAGAAAGCTGCAGATGGCTACAATTTAGTGTTACCCATGTAAAGCATGGACATTAATTTCTTACATCAAATATTTACAATATTGCCATTTAAATAAAACGATTTTACATTATGAAAAGCAGTTCTAATTCTTTTAAATCTGCCTATAGCATGTTTTTTTTTCTGGATTCAAAGGTTATATCATGGACCTTATAATATTATAAGGTTCATGTAAACACAAAGAAAAAAGTTCAGTTTTTGTATTTTTCACAAGGACTTGCCTTACAAGGTTTTGGGTTGAAACCCTGATAACATGATCTCAGAAAAACACAATTCATTATTGTGATTGATATGAAAAATGTCACACTTATTTTACACCTGAGAGGCTAGAGGTCCTTTTCAGTGGTGAACAATTAGTTGAATAAATATATATTATCAAGAGATTAAAACAATTAAAAGAGAAAAACGAATTTGATTTTGACTTTTACTAGAGGATTTGCCACTCCTCTAAAACAAGAAGAAGATCATAAAATATTTACAATTATGCAAAAAAAGAAAAAGAAAAAAAGACATAATTCATTCTACATAATATACAAATTAATTATTAATTATACAAAATTATGAAAGCATTTTGGTAATAAAAATAGGAGAAATAATTCTATATAAATATTCATCTATAAATATTCGTAAGATCCATTTATGAGTATTTCTAATGAAAATTCATTGATAAATACCTTTTCATGGATAGATCTTTTAAATATTAACCTATAAATTAACAATGTATAACAGAAAACAACAGTATTCACCTAATAATACACATCGCACAAAGGGATATAACTCTTACTACACAAGGATTCTTAAAGACACCACAAGTCTATTCACTGACATATATTTCAAAAGTAAAAAATATGTACAATTTTAATGTAAACAGTTTTGTAATCAAGCACATGACCATTATGAAGAATGGGATATTAAACTATTTAATACTAAATCGTCTTTTTATTAAAAAAAACAACAAAAAAGACTCTAAAAGTTAAAAGACAAATATATTTTTAATGTCAATCGTCCATATATCATTCACTCTCCACTGCATGTGTGAAGAGTTATATCCCTTTGACCACTAACAACAACAAAAAAAAAACCCCAAGAATTGGATACAAAAGTCTGAATCCTCTTAAATAGTTCAACAGGCAAAACCAAACATTGACTGTGTTATCAAGAAGTCATCATTTACATTTTTTTTTCTTTTTTTAATTTTATGTTTTGAGCACATTTGGGTTATCTTAAGGGCAGTGTTGGAATTTCAAAAATTTTCTTGTCGGACATTTTTACCGAAAATAAAGGGGCATAACATAACTCTTATCGCTATATAAGCAAGCGGTTTCAGACTACCGATTTGATATTTTCAAAAAAAAAAAAAGCAAATGATGCACATAGATTTTAACTTAAAAGTCATTGATTTTAGCAATACAGTTTAGAAAATAACTACATGAAAAGAGCTCTTTTCCAAACACAAGATATTATCCCAAAAGTAGAAAAAAAACAGGTATTTCTTTAAAACTGATAATGAAGTATAGAATATTTCAGGTTTTTAAAAATAAATAATATTCAGATCGCCTGCCACAGGTGTAGTAAGGAATATAAAAATAAAAATCGTGTTTTGGAGAAGAGCTCTATTCCAACATTAATTGTTAGTGTCACTATCGGATATTAAACTATTTAAACTGGTCGTGGATGACATGGAAGGCAGACTCTTTTGTTGTTTTCGGACATTCCAATGTAGACATTCGGCTAAACCATCAAACCAATCATTCATCTGATCCTTGGCACATATCGATGGTATAGGATACCGAGCCGTTGTTATACGCAAACTAGATAATAAAACAAAAATTGTCGATTTTTAAAAGAATTAGAATGGCAATGAATCTATGCGAGTCAGGATACATTTTGTCATTATCAATCAGTCATTTATGATACTAATTGTTGAATATGGCGACCAGTGTTGGGATTTCGCCCATATATTTCGGACATGTCCTACGCTATTTTCCAAATGTCCGATATTGCCGACCATATGCAGAAAGAATGACATGTCTATAATTATTAATACAATGAATCGATCTACACAGACTTGAACTAAAATTAAACCACTCTACTCCACAATTTAATGCGGATTATTATTTCTGAGGAATTTCATTGGACAATTTTTGATTGAAATCTCAATACCTAACGGTAGCAATGGATAAGTGACTTGATAATCAAGTCAAACGTGTTTACTTTTAGCATCAGATCATTGGAGAGACTGATAGATCTGGGTTTTAACGTCCACTCAACACAAACTAGGTGAGTAGGTCATTCCGTGACTAACATATGGTTCAATTTTAGTTCAATAATTCGCTTGTGGGTAGGGGTCTTTAGCAGTGGGAAGAAACCAGAGGACCCTGAGAAAATCCACGAGGTTGGACAGGCGACCCTACTCCTTGTCAAAACTACGCCATATGACTCAATGACAGACCTTATGATACAACGCACGTGTTAACCATTTGGCCTTCCAACTCCCCATGATCATTATTAAACGGATAACAACTCTTCTCCCTCATAAGACTCACAAGAACGACCTGTGGACGACTATAAATAGTGGTTATATGCCGAAAACATAACTGATTTCTCATAGTTGTTTTGCTAGAGACTGTCAAATTTGACATACTAAAACTTGGGAATAATAGTCACACAGGTTATTCCGAGAATATAAATGGACATAAAAACAATTTAAATATCATACTGACCTGTCACTTTGATTTATTTCTATTCTGTTTCTACCATCAAATGAAACCCAAGCTGAACTACGAGCTTCTGGTGATAACATCAGCTGAAATATAATAAACATGTCTTACAATATAAAATCTAAACCAACATCTTGGTTAGAGACGAGAAGCTTTCATCTCCTGGGTTCGATAAGGCTGTTGGTGCAAGACATAGATCTGGCAAGGAATAGGAACTTTGTCTGGTGCCACTGACAAGGGGAATCCTGACTGGAAACTTTCCCCGCCAACAGCGTGATCATACTCATGACCAACGTCTTCTGATAGATCTAATATCAAAGAATGCTGACTGGTTGTCAAATAATGTTGCCATAGTTACCTTAATTTCTACACCTGCTGGAACAACAACTGGTCGGAAAGACAAGGAATGCGGACATATAGGTGTAATGAGTAAACATGGAACATTAGGATGAATCATAGATGCTCCGGCTGCCACAGCATATGCTGTACTTCCTGTCGGGGTGGAGATTATTAATCCTACAAAAAAAGACAAAGAAAAAATATAGACAAGTTTTGTAATATATTCTTTAAATGGCATTTGGTAACTGGGCAGATAAATAAACATTGAGAGAATACTCTTCGAAACGTTGCCTATATAAATCAGTAGCTGTTTTTCCATAAGTATGTTTATAGTTTATTTCTTTGTAGTATAATTGTGGATTGATGCCATATTGAATTATAATGTTAAATGTATATGAATATAGTAACAGTCTGAACTAAATAAGCTATTTGTTCGCTATATATTCATTTACAATGCAAATGATTTGTTTTTAAATTATTATTAAAGACAGGATGTTTTTAAGATGTTGTTTGTCAATATTAGCAGTTCTTATACATAATCCATATTTGGTTAATTCTCTAGTTGGGTATAATCAACCAATCAGTTAATTAATACAGATATCAGGGGATATAAAGGACCAGGACTAACTCATTGCAATTCTTAGAAGGACATGATGCAATGTTTCCAGCAGTAGCTGGTCTGGCTAGAGTGAGCTGAATGGGGTTGAGAGAATGAAAGATATACTATTTTTTGAGTTTTATGCAGACTCGGATTTTGCAAGATTGTGTTTTAGCTTCCATTTTCGACCGGCTATGCTGCAGTTTTTATATATGACTCACATTTATAGGTATATTGGGCATATGAAACAGTGAGCCATGTTGGCTAAGTGGGTAAGATGCTGGCTCGCTAGCCTGGAGGTCATGTGTTGGATCCCTGCATTGGGAGAGATTTTCCAGCGTGCATTCCCCTTGTCAGTGGTGCAGGAAGGAGGGCCTGACAAGGACAGTCGTTCGGATGGGACGAAAAACAGAGGACCCATGTATACATTGGCGGTTGGAATTCGATATACGAGTAGGCCATAGTGCCGCTGCCCAGGCAAAATTTGCCTCATTGTACACTGTATGGCATATGTCCGTATGTTCTAAATTTATCTCATCAACAGTTAAATTATCTTATCAATGGATATCTGGAACTCAATGAGTTCACCCCTTTTTTAATGAGGATGTTTTTGACACAGCGTTATCTGAGAATCAGAATATTTTTTTTCATGGCCCCTGTTGCACTGGGATATAATTCAAAATACTAAATCGTGAAAAATACAAAATTGAGCTACTCACCGTCACCCTGAACAGATGTCACTAATCTTTCTTCAATATATAAATCAATATTACATAAATATGGTGTCGAACCTCGATCAACAACTATCTCATTTAAAACCTGCAATATTCATATCAATAATCAAATTGTTTATATAGAGTTCCATAAAATATTCATATCATTAGACGTTCATGTTGTGATAAGTTATACTTGAATGGTATAGAGAGAGCTCTTAGTCAACAAGCCAACAGTGAGGCTGATGTCCCCCGCCGAAATCCCAAACTAAATTTTCATGGCAATAATTAAATTGTCTGAAGTCGACCACTGAGTTCCTGAAAATATTCATGTTGTGAGAAGTTATACTTGAATTGTATAGAGAGAGTTGTTAGTCAAAAATTGAAATCTTTGACCACTAAGTTCCTGAAAATATTCATGTTCAGATAATTTTAGACCTACTGAAAATCCAACTGCTTACTTTTTTTTTTTATAGGCAATATTTTATTCAGATTTGTATCTGAATAGGGATTGGGGAACAGGCATAATAGATCAGTTAACGTCTTGAAAACCACTAAAAATTGTACACAATCCAAAATCCAGACTAACTCTCTCAGCCAACACCAGGGAATTTTTGGGGGGTATAGAGAAAATGTTAAAATTCTAAACTTACTAGATATGTATTTGCTGGTTTTTGATCGCAGAGTGTGGATGATGAAGATAAGTCTTGAGTTTTTGTTTGTGATAATGATCCACTTGTCACGTTGTCACAATTTATCACACATTTCAAGCGGTATCGTAATAATAATGAGGCACTGCCTAAAAAAACACAATAAAATATACATTAGTCATATCTGACAATACATTGTATCTGTCGATCATTACATACATCTTCCATTACATTGTATCTGTCGATCATTACATTCTATCCGTCGATTATTACATTGTATCTGTTGATCATTACATTGTATCTGTTGATAATTACATTGCATCTGTCATTCATTACATTGGATCTGTCGATCATTACATTGTACCTGACGATCATTACATTGTATCTGTCTTTCATTACATTGCATCTATCGATCATTATATCGTATCTGTGAGAATATGCAAAGGACCAAGTCTGACAACAATTCTATTGCCCTCTCCCCATCACCTCCTATGAAATGAAAAAGGGTTCAACATCCTACTTTCCTGCATCCACTGGGCTAATGCAGAAGGCCATACTCGATACAGTATGCAATGAGGGAATCTTTTTCTCGGAAAGTGGCTTTTCCACATACTCTTTGTCAAATTCCATAAATAGAACCTCGTTTTATTGGCTCATCCAAAAATCTACATGTCTGGCCCTCTCCGTCCTGCACCAATGACTGGGGGAAAATCATGCTGAATAAAGCAAGGACGTATTAGTTAGTGAGTCAGCAATCTGATAAAAACACAGATCCTATTTCATTTCGTTTATTATAGTTCAAAATTTTATTTCGTCTGTACTACACTAGGATCTGGAAGAGTTGTTATCATTGACGCGTTCTGAATGACGTGAGGGATTAGCCAATGAAACCATCTGCTACAGGGACTTCTTGGCATGCGATGCACGGAACTGTGGGTAAACCACTAGAAACGTCAACGCTAATTGATTAATTAATGTCTGATGTCATAGGGTCAAAAGCCTGTTTGTACGACCTCTGACGCGACCTTTTACTACAACCGGTACTAAATATAGATCTGTATTTTAATCAGATTGGTGAGTCAGCATCATATCCATTCAGCTACCTCATCTATGACAGACAAATGAGTTATAAAAAAAAGATATAAAGCAATGAAATACTATGGTAAAATCTACCTCTAAGACATTTGTTGATTTCTTCTTTAAAATGACAGAATTGGAATGGTGTAAGAAAGCCTAACGAACCCATGTTGAAGGCCATGATTGGTGGTACACTTTGCTGTAAGAAAAATATTTTATTTTAATGGAAATACATTTAGTTGAATAAATGCCAAGTTCATCAATACAGTTATAAATCATCATGATTTTATTCAACATTTTCATTATCATCATCTGCATCAAAGGAATTTAAAAACGGAAACTAACCTGTAGGGGCAATCCAGACAGCTGGACATGGGATATATAGATCAAATTATGTGTGAGAGAGAAAGAGAGAGAGGGTTTTGATGTCCATGTCCACACACAAACTAGGGCATTTCGGGACTAACATATGGTTCTATTTTATTTCAATATTTCGCTTGCATGTAGGGGTCTTTAGCAGTGGGAGGAAATCAGAGGACCCGGAGAAAACCCACGACATTGGGCAGGCGACCCTACTCCTTGCCACGTACAACCGAGGAATCAAAACCACGGCAGTTGACTCGATGACAGACCTTATGATAGAGAGCGCACATGCAAACCATTTGGCCATCCAACCCCCCTAATCAAAGTATGATCAATAAATCGGACTACAAACCACCAATCAGATTATGATCAATCAACCAGAGATTATGGTCTGTAACTGATTGATCAACCATCAGGAGATAATTGAACATTTGATGGGTAGAAAGACGATTGACTCTTGTAATTCTTGAAACGACTTAAAGGAGATGAACCAGTTAAAGATTAAACTTTACAAGGATTTCTATATCATTCAAATCACACCCAGAGACCTTAACCCTTAACTGGTCAACGTCTCATTGACGTCATGACGTCAAGTGGTCAGGCTAAATAAAGGCTAAAGTGAAATATTTTGTATGCCTATTTCAATCGACTACTGCCAGATAATTGTAAGTGATAGACTCTTGATACCAATAATAAAGTGGAAGGGGATAAGTTGATCTATAATTTCCAAATCATTCAGAAAATTTTGGTCAAATTACTTCACTCTGAGCCGAGAATAGAGAATTTCTAAAACACTGTAGAATCGATTGTTAGCATTGTTACAATAATAAACAAAGTCTTGATTATCCATTTTTACGGTTAATCATGAACAGCAGATCAGATTCAAATCTGTTCAAAACTGTACCCATCAGATGGCATCAAGAGTTGATTATGGTCTTGACATGTTAATAAATGTCTAATTAATAGTTTATATAACATTTAAGGCCTTGCATAATCTATGTTTAAAGAATCAAATATTTGATTGTACCAACCTGGAATAATGATGAAGCATGGATTAAAGTTCCATCCCCTCCTAAACATATCACAAAATCTATTTTAGCTGTTAAATTGACCTGATCTGTAAAACAAATAAAATGTTTGTCAAAATGTTTGCCATGTTAAGCTGAAATATAAACAAGTCTGTCATCACTTTTCACTCTTTCTCTCTAACGGCATAATACACATCATATGGTAATAAACAAGCCTTGCCATCGTTTCTCTCTTTCTCTGGATCTCTCTCCAAAAATAAGAAGAGAGGGTTCTATAAGATTAACTCGGCTTTAGACAAAAAAGCCTATTACCGTAAACTGATTTACATTCAATGGTTTCTGTTTTGACTGTAATTTCTAAATAGTTATGCTCGGCGAATTATAGATGCAAAGAGTTCCCATTGAATGGCAGTCTTCGGTGCCTGGTTATGCCAGTCTACACCAGTAGTATTCTCCCCTGTGGGATATGTTAGCGTCGTTCATCAAGTCGCTTCATTACAAATGGCTCTCAAAAGCATTCTGGCATGCAATTTGTGTGCCAATTTTTTAATTTTCATTTTATCTTAATATTGGATAAGAGAAGCCCATCTTTTCTCAGTAAGATAACAATGCCAATGTTGATTTAAATTGACCAACAATCTGTGTTTGCAATGTCAAAGGCTGTGGTCGTGTTTGCAATGTCAAAGACTGTGGATAATATTAAGTTAGCGACCTGCCTCCTTTAAAGAGTAGATGTATAGTAAATGTAATTGGTTTTAATGTATTGTGCCACAACTGGACTAATGAAGATATGTTGTGCTATGATGGAAATTTTGTTTCGACAGGGTGCTATCAATTATTTTAATTTTGAGGGATCTTTAGTATGCTGTGTTTTGAAATTTTTGACAATGTTAAATAATGGATGCTGGAAGTCCAAACAGTGGCAATTACCAGTTTTGGGATAATGAATGCATTAAAATGAATTAGTATTATTTAATTCGGGACCTACCTTCGTTAAAAAGGATTAATTTTTGTTTAATTTTGATGAAGTCTGGATCTGTGTCAATCATACAACAGTCGACAGCAGCCCTATCAGCATATACCATCATATTCTTCTCCTATATAATAAAAATAAAACATGAATTCTGGAAATTGAACAAGAAGAGAAGAAGATAGAAATAAGGCTTAACATCCAACCGACACAAATTAGGTAATTTCAGGACTAACATATGGTTCATTTTTATTTCAATAATTGCTTGCTTGTAGGGGTCTTTAGCAGTGGGAGGAAACCGGAGGGCCCAGAGAAAACTCACAAGGTTGGATAGGCAACCCTACTCCTTGTCACGTACAACCGGAGAATCGAAACCACGCCAGTTAACTCAATGACAGACTTTATGGTTAGTTGTGTGTATGGGAAATGGTTCTGAAGATCAATAACTGCATGTTAGGGGATCATTCCTGGTAAACTTCATTAGTGATAATAAAACCCCAATGACTTCGTAAAGGAGAGCGATTTTCAATTTTAAGAGGAGAGAGAAAAACCTCCCCTCGGTCGACATTCAGACACTGGAGAGCGATCGCTTGCCTTAAAAAACAATGACTGATAAATTAATATGCATATTCAACAATTAGTATGCTGAAAGGCTTATTAGATTGTGTTTAAGTTTAAGCTGGGATTACCAGAAAATTGTAAAAGAATTCTATTAGCCATCATTAAATATAACTTGTAACCAGTTGTCTACAGTTAATTAACCCTGGTTTGATTCAGTAGCACACATCAATATATGTAATAAATATTCATTGATGATTAACTTTCATCGACCCTATGTTTAGGGTCTTTACAAATATGTGAGATATTTACTCTAAAATATAAAATAGGTTGCCAGGCAATGAAACATACAGAGAGAGAGAGAGAGAGAGAGAGAGAGAGAGAGAGAGGGGGGGTTAATGTCCACTTGACACAAACTAGGTCATTTCGGGACTAACATGGTTCAATTTTATTTTACTCATTGGCTTGCCCTTAGGGGTCTTTAGCAGTGGGAGGAAACCGGACCTGGAGAAAACCCACCAGGGTTTTCTTAAAGAGATCAAGGGCCACATTTATTCTGTTTGAGGGAATATGCCTTTAATAACATACTGACATTGATAACTTTAAGAGTAAAGATAAGAGAGATGACAGGAAATTAATAAAGGAAATGATATAACCCTTAACCAGTCATGGTCGACTGTAAAAACCCTTTTTATAAGCCGCATTTGAGTATTTAGTTTCGTATTTAATTGAATGGTCACGCATGTGTATCAGGCAGGAACTTGTCTTGTCATGGGCATTGAGAAAAACATGTCTTTGTTCAACATTTTTTGACAAAAAATGTAATTTTTTAACAATGTCGTGAAGGTTAAAGACTCTCAAAGTGATTAAAATGCTTATGAATGATTCCGACTCGGATTATATCGATGACACCGATTCTAAGACGATATTTCTGATGAAAGTGATTTAGAAAACGAGAGACAACGTGCAAATTATAGATCAACTTATCCCCTTCAACTTTTTTATTGGTGTCAAGAGTCTATCACTTATAATTATCCGGCAGTAGTCGTTTGAGATAGGCATACAAAATATTTCACTTTAGCCTTTATTTAGCCTGACCACTTGACGTCATGACGTCAAAATGACGTAGACCTGGTAAGGGTTATGGTTTTAACATAAATATGGCAATTCTTTGTTTCATTTAATTGACCTTGTGGGGGAAAGTGAAGTGGAGAAGGGGGCAAGAGTTAAGTGAGGAAAGGGGCAGGGGTTAAGTGGGGAAAGGGGGAAGGGGGCAGTATATTTTATATCAATAATTTGAATGTATGCAGGCCAGGGCTAAGAGCAAGTTAAAATTTCCTTTTAATTGGCTAATGCATTAAAATTTTAAAGTTAAATAGTTATATATCGAAGCTCCTAAAACATGGTCATTTTCGTACCAAACCTATTTTTATTTTGGACTCCAAATCCAGGATTTTTGGGGGCATTTTGACCGAAAACCGTTTAAAAATTTGGTAGTTTCGATCTTGACCATTGATTCAAGAGAGACTGGAGACCAAGTTATTTCGACCGGAGAATTGCAGAGACCTAATTAAAGTGCAGTGGCAACATGGTCACTTGATGATAATTTGCATGATGTAGGCCCGGTTTCGATTTTCCAGTCGAATATGCATACATGACGTCACAGGTTTTAACGTGTTACTTCATTGCTATTAACGTGTTAATCTCATTTACACATTAACCAGTTAATAAGTTAAATGCTCTCAGCCCTGGTAAAGGCATTTTAAGGCAGTGAATGAATGAATGAAATAGGGTTTAATGACCTATTTTTCTACTTCAACTGGGCTAATTATGAGGAGCATACGCCATGCAGAGTGCTAAGGACATTCTGCATGGGTAGCATAGCTAAGGCCTATTCTTATTTCAAATTCCTTTGGTTCTTTTACATGAACATCCCGGCGGAATTGACAAAGGAAAACCAACCCGAAAATCCTGAAGAACTTTCTCGGCCAAAAGAGGAATCTCCAGATTAGCGAGCCAGCGTCTTATAGTCACTGAGCCCCAACCCCCTCAATCCCAGACTATATAAAATTTATTTACCTCGATGAGCCAGACGACCAGATCTTTAAACGGGTAGGTAATATCAGCATCATATAGTTTACGTACAACTAACACTGATAACGGGGGTTTCCCCCATAACAATTTCTGACTACTTGGATCAGGGATCTTCCTGAAAAAAAAAACAATATTGTAACTTAGACGAGTGTTATAAGAAAAAAAATACCAACTGTTTTGTGGCTATTCTTCGTTCGAATAAGACCCTTGGCATGTAAAAAGTTTTGAGTCTTGAATCCATCTTCCACCATTATATCACCAAGTGTTTAGTGGCTATTCTTTGTTCTATATATAAGACCCAGGTGATACACATGTAATATTCATACATACAAATGAGCTATGAGTGGGGGGGGGGTTACCTCATTAATGATGGGTAGTATTCTGGAGAAGGTGGTTGCTGTTTATCGAAAGTCAAAATCCAAATCCGTTTCCATTTTACTTTATTATATGCAGTTAAAGATACATTATGTGAGATTAGATAAAGAGCTGGCAGTTCTCATTATAATTTTTACAAACTAGATAATGTAAAGGGAATTTGCTGAAAATTTCAGTCAAATTGATCCACTCTGAACCAAGAATTTAGCGATTGAATTTTAGTCCTAGCCTCGGTACGATAAAAAACATAGTCTTGATTATCCATTTTTTGATTTAATCATCAATGAGCATTGAGCAGCAGATCGGTTTCCAATCCAGTAAATATTGCAGGCTAGCGATGACATCGAGAGTTGATTATGGTCTGGATAAGTTAATTAATATCTAATTAATAATCTAGATAACATTTCAGGCCTAAAGAAAGACCTGCAATAGGCAGATTTAGCTCTTGCATAGTGTACATGTATGTTCAAACATACATTATATACAACCCTCGACTAGGTCTCAGTTATCTTAATTCTTTTCTCGCCAACTAAATGATTGTTGTTGGGTCTTTTATTCTTTTAAAGAAATTAATTCCCATACAAATAAAAGTCAACTATTTCGACAAATCAGATTAAAGATAAAATTAGGAATAATAAATACTGTAACAAATCAAATTAAAGAAGTTAAATCCATATATAAATTTCATTGGTTAAAATATAATTATTGGAATTTGTTAATAAGGTCCATATTTTCGAAAAGTGTCTAAAATAATCTGTGTAGTTGACTCAGTTTGGCATTCTCAAAAGTCAGATAAGCTAATCTTGGTTTAGAATTTCTCTTTGTCAACGATTAAGATTAAGTTTTAAAATTTGATTGTAAATCAAACATTTAAATCACTGATTTCATATAATCATTGATTAAAGAGTTTTTGTTTATCATTGACGAAATGGACCAGTTACAGGAAATAGATTACTAAAACATGACATTGGGGTTCAAAGGGATCAGTAGGGTGTAAGCAGGGAGAAAAAGCGGGTCAAAAGACATCAAGCTTTAGGCGTGTTTTGAACGGAACTGTGGGTAATCCACTAGTAACATCAATGCTGATTGGTTAATCAAATGTCTGACATCACAAGGTCAAAAGCCGCTTGCATGACCTCTGACGCGATCTATCGCTACAACCGGTCAGATCTTCATGTAGTGTAGGCCATCGAAAGTATAAAAAAACAAAACGAAATATGGATCTGTATTTCAATCAGACTGGTTGTTGTTATCCCTCACATTTCCCACAAGCGACCTAGTTGAGTTCACAATGGGGAAGTGCGGAGGTGTAATTGTCTTCACATCTGAATTTATCATTATTTGTCAATTTTGTATAAACTTGTAATATTTCTATTTAAAGGGAACATCCCGGATTTTAACTGAGTCTCAGAAACAAAAGCGTACGTATGAAATTTAAGCGCCAAAATATATAGGAATGCTGTATTTACCTTGTCTCAAAATTTCAGTACGAAATATTGAGTCGTTTTCACGTCACCGTCAAAACTGCTTATCCGGATGGCAGATACGTAACCCTTTTAAGAGTTCGATTCAATTTTTTTTGTTGGGTGACTTGATAATCTATTGCCGTTCCTTTAGAGATCTATACAGTGCATGGCCCACGTACTTGATAACGAAAGGTACATTTCACCTACACGTTACTTTTATAAAATAAAAGTCTGGTTTTATCCAGGCAGCGTATAATACTGCTTGGGACACCGGTCTCCATTTCCAGATGAAGACTGACATATTTAAGTTGTTTGAAAATGTATCATGTATATTAAGTTAGTTGCTTGGCCCAAAGATAGAGGATTTTAAGGGCTTTTAACACAAAATTAAGCAGTTTTATTCTCCAAAATATAATCGAGATTGGCCCTTTAAATAAGACTCCAGATGTAGGCCGGTCACCTGGAAGATGAAATGTAATTATAATTTTTAATAAAGTTGTTCGCATCGCTAGACGTCACATGTCATTATATAAACATAAATTGTGTCTATTTCATGTTTCGATTGAATTTAATTGGTCGTTAAGATGCTGCTTTTGTAATTATTATTCATACAACTGGGTGCCAATTACATAAAATTTCATGGGATATATACATATAATATCATTATATAAAAACATGAACAGTATATTTGTAATTATCAAGCTTCAAAGACCTAAAATACAATTATTGAGTTCGCTCCGTTTTGAACTTAAATTGGCTGTTTTTCATTTCTTACATCTCTTTGTTGGAAATATTGTATGAACATATGAAACTGCAACAAAGAATGTAACAAACTCTTTTAATGCAACGAATGTCATTTCTAGTCGACTTTGCCTTGTGTTTTTTTTTTCTCTACATCGTCGCTTGAAAGTGTCACCAAATGTTGTCCTCAATACGCTTGACGTGACTTTTGTCTGGCTGAACTCCACCCTCACCCCTTTTGAAAAGTCATGTATCCACCCTTGTGAATAAGGTGTAGGGTGTGGGGTATGAGGGGAGTGGCATCAGATACAAACAAGGAAGGCCACAGGCTTTTTTCCGTACACCATATCAAGGTTGTAAACTCTCGGTCGTTACTTCAGGAACACGCATCCTTTACAGCTCAAAAATTACTTGCACTTTGTTTGAGAAGGTTCATCTTGATTCTCCTGCCTGGTTGGTTACCCTTTGTCGGTAGTGCAGAACAGAAGGTGCGAAAAACCGAGGTCCCGTAGACCTAAATCAATCCCTTACAGTCGGAATTCGAAATAAGTGTAGTCTGTAGTGCTGCTGTCTTTGATAAAATACTCTGATGGCAAACTGTATTAGCCCAGCAGAAGCATATAAGAAGGACATTAAACCCCATTTCATTTCATTTCAAAATAAAGGTCGTTTCATTCTTATTTGGTTCATAACTGCATAACTGAATGCATCATAATGGCATTACCCCCCTGAGATGACAAATATTAAGTACAAGTGAACGTTCCAGAATATCACATATTTATGGTATTCTCGAACAATGATTAACTTAATGATTAAGCTAATCAAAGTTTATAAAAATTTTAGTTTAAAAGTTAGTCACCTTTCCAGAATATGACTGGTCAGAAAATCGGAGATTAAATCTATAATTAGCACAAATCTACTTTTGAAAATATGGGTCTAAAGAGAGAGAGAGAAATGGGGTTTAACGTCCACTCGACACAAACTAGGTCATTTCGGGACTAACATATGGTTTAATTTTATTTCAATAAACCGGAAGACCCGGAGAAAACCCACGAGGTTGGACAGGCGACCCTACTCCTTGTCACGTACAACCGGGGATTCGAAACCACGCCAGTTGACTCAATGACAGGTCGTATGATACAGCACGCACCTTATACACTGTGTATAAATTTAAAGTCAATCGGATATTAACTTCAGCCTCTGGAGCGTCCACAAGATTTTTCAAAGTGATCAAGGGCCATAACTCTGGCAGCAATTATCAGAAATCGCTGAAAATCAATAGGATTCTTCGTCTCATGACCTTAAACACTGTGTATAAATTTAAAGTCAATCGGATATTAACTTTGACCTCTAGAGCGTCCAAAAGATATTTTGAAGTGATCAAGGGCCATAACTCCGGCAGTAATTATCAAGAATCGCTGAAAATCAATAGGCTTCTTCGTCTCATGACCTTAAACACTGTGTATAAATTTAAAGTTTATCTGATATTAACTTTAGCCTATAGAGCGTCCGGATGTCCGGACCGACGGGGACGACAACAATATACGACCACATTTTCAATGTGGGCGTATAAAAACTAAGGTTCTGTGTGTACATGTTGTTGTGCAAGTAAAAGGACCCTTGACACTTGGAATTTGAAATAAGAGTAGGCCATAGCGCCGCAGGATGGGCAGAATTTACCTTACAGCACACTGCATGTGGTATGCACTTCTTGATTAGCCAAGTTGACACAGTGGGATATTAACCCACATTTCATTTCATTTCACTTCACTATCTCGACTTATTTGTTAACTGAACAATAAATTTAGGGTAAGTGACTGGCTTGCTTCACATGCTTAGTTCACGGTGAACGATTTGCAATAAATAAAACTACAAAGATATATTTTTCTGTACCTGGTGGCGTTAATAACCTTTAACTCTATTGATCGCTCCTTTAATTTAATTTTATCTTACACATAAAAATAACCCAAGTGGAAAATATCGTTCAACGGGAAAAATCATTCACATGGAAAAAAACATAACCCAAAATATTTAGGGTCAACAATTCTCCATAAAAACAAAACCAAGTAGAATAATATCGTTTAACAGGAAAAAATCATTCACATGGAAAAAACATAACAACTGAAAATATTTAGGGTATTGTTAAAACGACTCGTACCTGGTGGCTGTTATGACCAATATACCTAAAATTAATTTGTACTTTTAACTTCGTATGCATAAAATGACCTGTAAGATTGGATGGCCGAGTGAGTGGACTTGTGTGCTTAGTTTAAATCAGTGGTTCTCAACCTTTTTTTGCCAATGGCACACCTTGAAACACATGAAAAAATAGCGGCACACCTGGCTAAATATATATGAAAAATATTTGAAGTATGCAAAATAAAAAAATGGCATGTAATATACGGCATAGTCATAGACGCATAGAATGACAGCTATGAACTTACCAGTAGACACCAATAAATATTCAATTGGGATCACATGGTTTTTCGAATTTCTTAGTGTGTCGTTCAAAATTTCGCAGCACACTGGTTGAGAATCACTGGTTTAAATCATAAGGGTCTGTCACTAAGTCAAGTGACATGGATTCGATCTCTGGGTCCTTCAGTTTTCTCCCACTGCTAAAGACCCCTTACGCGCAAGCAAATTATTGAAAAAATCTTTTGAAAGGATATCTTGTTAATCTGAAGTTAACAAAATAAGTCAAATATTCAGTCGCAAACTGGGTTATTGATAATCTACCTGCTAGACTAAAAAAATATAATTCAGTTGGAACAATCATTGAAGTAGAAAAGAGATAAAAAAAAAATTAGAGGTATGGCAAGTATGTTATCTTCTATATTTATGAATCATGTTATGTTATCTCTTCAATATTCATGAATCAAATTATGTTATCTCTTGTTCATGAATCAAGTTATATTATCTCTATATATTTGTAACTGAGGCTGAAATTTAGGCTATAGGGCAGCTCAAGCCCGGAAGTGACATATGCCTGGGGGTGTTGCACTACCACTTCACAGTTATACTAATTCTGGTTCAAAGCTCTACCCATGCAACACCTGGTCAACAGTTATTAGTGTCTTATAAATATGATCTAAGTGTTGACTGATCTACTGTTCGGGCACAATTTCCCTCATAGTATAGTGCATGGCGTTTGCCCATCTTCAAAATCACAGTTGGTGGAGAAAAGTAAGATGTCAAAAAGTTTCAACAAAGTGAAACAAGGGCCATAACTCTAGAAGCAATTTCCTTCAATTGCTTCTAGAGTTATGGCCCTTGTTTTGCTTTGTTGAACCTTATTCAATACACTTCTTCATTTCACTAATTTAAATAATGCATACAAATGTCATACAGATCGGATGATAAATTTTGTCGTTAAGAGTGTTCACAAGGTGCAATAAAGTGAAACAAGGGCCATAACTCCAGAAATTAAATTTCACTAATGTAAACAACATGATTTTCAACCAATCAGATAATAAATGTATCCTGTAGTGTGTTCACAAGAACGTCTGGACGATGGACCGTCGGACAGACAGAGGCGACGCGACGGCAATATATGATCACATTTCCATGTGGAAGTATAAAAATTAGGTAAGTCTATGGTTATTTTGAACAAACCACAATTGACATTGATGAAAACTTACCAACATTGGGTATTATTTGATGTTCCATTTAAACTCCAAGTCGTCTCTTCATCCAACTTATCCTTTAACTTCAACTTATCACGCGAAAGTTTAACACTGTTCCATGGTTTTGTAGAATCACGAACACACGATTGTTTGAATGCTAGAGAACGGGGCCCACACATCCCCCATAATAAATGCATCTTAAGTGGCAAACTGACCTGCCGAAATATTTCCTGGTTCGAATCGTATCGAAGAAAATCTTTGGCTAATGGATAACACTTTGAAACTATATTTTTGTCTTTGTCGTTATTTTTACCAACTTTGATCAGAACGTCGGTTCCGTTTGTTGGATGGTCATCCATCTTGTTTTGGTTTGTCTCTATCGTGTTCATAATCGTGATCTATTGCAGAGTCTATGACCCCAGCTTGGTCTACAAGCTGATTGTTCTGTTATGTAGTCGTGTTATCGTTGACATCACCAGTAACAATATTAAAATCCATAGTGATACAGTAATGAAACTGAGAATTTTATGTTCACAGTGCACTGTTTTACAGTAAGCAGTAATCATATTCCATAATAATGAAACTTAGAATATCAATTTTCATTGATGTCCACATTCATGATGTCATGATCGTATTCCATAGAAATGTGTCCTGTTGTATATAGTAATAAAAGTTTGAATATCAATTTCATAGAGTTTTTGTTTGATCTCCACTGTTCACGATGTGATGAAGTTCTGTTTTACAGTAGACCATGATCGTATTCCATAAATATGTGTCCCGTTTATTGTATAGTACAGTAATGAAACTTTTCATTTGATATCTGCTAATACTTCCTTTCAGGGTATGCCTAGTTTTTCCAAGGTATGCAATCCTAATAAAAAATTTTACATTCAGTTCAGATTTTCAGAAAGATAATATTTTAATACACTGTTTGTAAATTTAAAAATAATGATTAAAATATTTTCAAAATATACTTTTGATTTCCCAAAGATAACTGAAACTGATTAAACTGTTAGCATAAATTGATGTTGACAAATCAGAATGTTCCAGCTGCCATTTTTTATATTTCCCAGATCTCATTTCTCTAACCTTTAACCGGCCGATCATCATTTCAGCAGCATCAATTTGTTTTCAATTACTCAAAGAACTGAAGATGACCATCCATTTATTATGTGATAACGAGACTCCAAAAGAAATACTAGATCTGAACAGTGAAATTGGAAATATTGTCCTAAAAGTGCTATTTGACGATTAGCGGTTTTAATTTCCTTCCATGATCTATAAATTACTCATAAGAACTGAATGCGACCAACCAACCAGACTCCAATAAAGAACACTTCGTAATATCCATCCTGTGAATTACTCAAACTAATGTTGACAAGACTTTCCTCGATTATGACTTGCTTGAGTAATGTGTATGAATACAAATTAAACCCATAGATGTAATCCGTCCTCCTAAAAACTCCATGCACAACTAGTCCATAAATCCATGTAGTTTATGGGTCTGACAGAAAAAAGGTCCAGAGGTGAATGGTCTAATAATGTATGACCATGTGACATTAATAGTTTATGACCGGTTTAATTGTATTTCATAATTCAGTGATTAATAACACGACTATTGTTGATTACCATCATAAGCTACGGGCGAATTACTTCCTATACCTACAATTCTACCAGTAATTAAATCCTTGATCCATGACAAGTCCTTTTAAGAACATTTCTCTAGTTCATTAAATCTAAAATCATTGTCAATAAAACCAAGCAAGTCTTTAAAATCTATGATAAGTTTAATAGTAAAAATCGAATGGAGGTTCAAAATTTCTAATCTTAAAACAATTAATTACAATCCATGTTCTTTCTTATAGCCTAATAAATAATCTCACTAAATTCCATCAAGGGCCATCTCCTATTATAAAATTTGAAACTGTCAATTTAAAATGTTTAACCTCCTCTCTACACAAACTAGGTCATTTCGGGACTAACATATGGTTCAATTCTATTTCAATAATTTGCTTGCATGTAGGGGTCTTTAGCAGTGGGAGGACCCGGAGAAAACCCACAAAGTTGACCAGACGGCCCTTTGGCGCGTACAACCGGGGAATCGAAACCACGCCAATTAACTCAATGACAGACCTTAAGATACAACCTGCAGGTGCTAACCATTCGGCCATCCACCCCCCCCCCACCCAGTAATTGAGAGAAAAACACTCTAAAAAAATTATTTCTCCTATAACATGATCATAAAATTTCATCAATTCGAAAGTCATTGTTGGGGAAAAATTCTTGAAATATACCATCCAATTATTCTGAATTTCAAAAGGAGTTCTTCTTAAATGAAACAGCTGACAACAATGTACATCATCATTAAATGATTAATAACCCAATAACACAGAGGGAAAAAGTGTGTATATAAAGTACAAACAAATGAAATGCAATGGTTTTTAAAGTTCTACAGAACTACGGATATCCTGGTTAGTGAAATGAAATGAAATGAAATGTGGTTTAAAGTCCCACTGTTCTGCTCAAACTGGGTTAGGGGGGTTGGATGGCCGAATGGTTAGCACATGTGCGTTTATAATAAGGTCTGTCATTGAGTCAACTGGCGGGGTTTCGATTCCCTGATTGTACAAGACAAGGAGTAGGGTCGCTTGTCCAATCTCGTTGGTTTTCTCCAGGTCCTGTGGTTTCTTCCCACTGCTAAAAGACCCCTATGCGCTTTGAATTATTGAAATAAAATTGAACCATGTGTTAGTCCCGAAGTGCCCTAGTTTGTGTTCAGTGGACCTCTCTCTCTCTCTCTCTCTCTCTCTCTCTCTCTCCAACTGGGCTAATGAAGATGTGTGTGCTATGAGGGGACTTATGCCCGGACAGCTAGGCTACAGCCTACTCTTATATGGAATTCCAACTGCCAAAGGATCTTTTACATGCAAGCCAATGTGTAAACAAGACCTAGGTTTTTCTTCCAATCGAAACAAATAGACAGCTTTCCTTGTCAGGCCATCCAACCTGCACCACTGATAAGGGGAAACGCCGGAAAATCTTGATGTCTCGGCCAACACCGAGAGCAAAATCCTGGCTAGTGAACCTGCGTCTTACTCATCTAGCCACTGTGGCTCCCTTCTGGTTAGTGAACCAGCATCTTAATCTCTAAGACACCATAGCTCTAGCCCACACAAACCATATTGTCAAATCGAAAGGCAACACCCTGAGCCACTAAGTCACCATAGCTCTATCACACACAAACCATATTGTCAAATCGAAAGGCAACACCCTGAGCCACTAAACCACCATAGCTCTAGTACACACAAACCATATTGTCAAATCGAAAGGCAACACCCTGAGCCACTAAGCCCTGTAGCACACACAAACAACAATGTCAAATCGAAAGACAACAACCCGACCTGAGCCACCATAGCTCTGCAGCACACACAAATCGAAATGTCAAATCGATAGGCAACGCCCTGAGACCGGTGCATTATTACATACAAGACAAAGGTTACCAGTCAACAAAACATAGGCTTTAAACAGCATTTCAACTACTTCATTGAATAACTTGTCCTGTATCGCATTCACAAGATTTAAATAGGAAAATTGGACCAGAAAAACAACATTACATCCATGTTCAAAATGATCCATATGAATATTTTGACATTCACAAGAGTTTTTTTTTTCAAACCCTATAATGCTTGATTTACTAAGTTTATGCTTTTAATTTTTGAATACTTCTTCCGTTCTTTATTAGCTCAATTGCAGCAGAGCAGTAGGACGTTAAACCCATTTCATTTCATTTCATTGGTATTATGTTTCAGATTTGGTGGCCTTGACATCTCTTCATCCTGGTATAACAAACAAGGGAGGAGTTATTTTTTATCCAACTGGAGAGATATATAATTATCCTTTATACAGCATCTTACTCTTATAATATAATCAAGTTATTTCATCCATTAAAATAAATTGCTTAAATAACGTATCGTAATTGTATTCCATAGAATTTGTGTCCCATGTTTATCCACTTAAACATACATTATGCAAGAGCTAAATCTGCCTATTGCAGGTCTTTCTTTAGGCCTGAAATGTTATCTAAATTATTAATTAGACATTAATTAAATGAAATGAAAATTAAAATGAAATGGGGTTTATATCCTACTGTTCTGCTCCGAACTGGGCTAATGAAGACGGGCATCCGCCAAACAGTGTGCTATGAGGGAAATTTTGCCTGGACAGCGGCACTGTGGCCTACTCTTATATCGAATTCCAACTGTCAAGGGATCTTTTTTACGTACAGGCCAATGTGTACACGGGACCTAGGTTTTTTGTCCCATATGAACAACTAGACAGGTGTCCTTGTCAGGCCCTCCGTCCTGCATCAATAAAAAGCCATGCTGGAAAATCTGGATGAACTTTCTTGGCCAATGCAGGGATCAAACACCCGACCTCCAGGTTAGCGAGCCAACGTCTTACCCACTTAGCCATGACCTACAGACATTAATTAACTTATCCAGACCATAATCAACTCTTGATTACATCGCTAGCCTGCGATATTTACTGGATTAGGTTCCAATTTCCATTCATAATTTAATCATGAAATGGATAATCAAGAATGTTTTTTATCGTACTGACTTTAGTAATGTTAATTGAGGCTAGGCCGAAAATTCAATCGCTAAAATCTCAGTTCAGAATGGACCAATTTGACTGAAATTTTCAGCAAATTCCCTTTACATTATCTAGTTTTTAACTATTAGAGTGAGAACTGTCAGCTCTTTATCTAATCTTCGATAATGTATCTTTAACTAACACGCTCACCCTGTTTCAAAAGCTAAAAGTATGCTGGGAACTAACTCCTCCCTATAATGAATTTTTAGATCTGTATCATCAGCCTGATTCAGATTGAACCTAATTTCCACATTATCACATGGAGTCACAAACTGAGAAGAAGTGAAGCCAATACACATCATGGTTAAAAATAGCCTTGAAAGTTGAAACTGTACACATACATGTATCCCCAGAATCACAATAGGGTGAGGGACTAACACATGATTTAATTTATTTCAACAATTCGCTTGCGCGTAGGGGTCTTTAGCAGTGGGAGGAAACCGGAGGACCCAGAGAAAACCCACGAGGTTGGACAGGCGACCCTACTCCTTGTCACGTACAATTGGGGAATTGGAACAGGGGAATCGAAACCATGCCAGTTGACTCAATGACAGACCTTATGATACAGTCCGTGAATCACAATAGCCATTCTTCCATGTTTAACATGATGAAGTATAAACTATCTTGTATGATGGGTAAATTATCACTGCCAGAAATATAAACCTTTGATGTAAATAGATAGGAAACAATTTAATTGGGGGGGGGGGGGGGCTGCAGGGGCAGGGAAGGGGAAGAGAGAGAGAGGGGCTCACTCGTCACAAACTGTCATTTCAGGACTTAGCAGTGGGATGATACTCGAATACCCTGAGAAAACCCACGAGGTTGGACAGGTGACCCTATTCTTTGCCACATACACAAGCAGGAATCGAAACCATGCCAATGACAGACCTTATGATTAAACGCGCACATGTTAGGGCCCCATTACCCCAATTCTATGCAATACAAGTACTGTTTATTACTGACTAAATAACCACTAAAAATCCTAGTAATAAACAGATAAATGTATTCCATAGAATGTATCCTGGCTATTTCTAATTCAAAATTACATACTACATGCCATTGAAACAATATGTGGTATAATTATAAATACTATGGTAGGTGGTAACTAGTGGATGGTAACAGACGAGTGGTAATTGGTATTTCTCCACTCCTTTAATATTTTATAAACACATTAAGGATTAACATTTTCGCCTATTATATTATGATGCACAGTTCAACATATGATGATGGTACAAGAGATTATAACCGATTTCTTCTAGGCCTGCACTGGATCTCAAAAGACACAACTGAGCCTTTAATCAAGGAAATGAAGCAGCTAAAAGTTCTTAATCGCTCTTTATCTCCAACCTATGCTAGAAGAGCCTCTCACCCACAACTGGCTCTTCTTGTAAGTTTTTTTAGGAAACACTCTGGCTTTGATATCACCCTTGGTGAAAGCAGACGTTATGTCCCACAAACAAAGCCCTGCACATTATATAAACACAAACATTCTTCACTACTTTCACTTTCATTGTCCGTATTATATCTCAATTACTTCCTGTTAGTAAACAATTCAAATAATGAGCTAGATATATAACTATTACCATCAATGATAAGCAACCCTTCTGACTGTAATAGTTTGTATTTACTGCGGATATAGAATTATTGGACCATGACACACCATATCAACGACTGACATTATGCACTATTACTACTACTATTATACAAAAAGGATTTCGAGCTTCAGTGATCATAATAAAGATTTTAATTTACTTACTAATAACAAAAGTCATTGAGAGAAATCGTGACCCCAGAAATATCGTGACGACAACATAATACAACAACAAAATGAATCCAAAAGAGAATTGTAGTATGTTGTATAGTATGTACATTTTACCTATCCAGAATAAAACAAATAAATCCTTTAACTCAACTTCTTTCAAACAATACATATAGATACATGTATATAGGTAAATCCCTCGGAGCATAATATTTTAATTTTACTCAACATCAAAATAAATTTTATAAAGCTCCTCAAGCATACTTTGTAGGCTGGTCTTGATAGGCAATAAAATCAACCAATCCAATATGGGAGTAATATATGAGATGAAAGTTTGGATTGTGTTTAATATCAATTCTGCAGAATTTTGCAGTTTATAAGACAATACAATTCACCAATCTATATTATATCCTTATTTTCTACTATGCATAATTACACGAAATGAGGTTTAACATCCAACTTTTCTTTATCAATTCTTCTAATGAAACGCATGTTCCTGAAGCAACAACTGCGAGTTGTAAATTATCTACATGTAGACATTGCTAGATTGGTCTGCAATTCCTGAACTCAAAACCATGATACATGTATCTCCCTTTAATGCAGACACAATCAGGGGTTGTTACACAAACACACTCAAATCAAACGAACCTTCAACTTTGTAACTCGATTATCACAGGTAAACATTTTACCTGTGATGTTGTCCCTTGCTGAGTCAGTAGCCAATCGTAATTAGTGCCGAAATATGAGGGGCTTGATAAGATGTACTGAGTTAAAGCAAGATTAAGCTTTCTATCGAAGATGATGAAGACGGGAATAGGCCATACATTGTGATATCAGGGAAATTTTGCCTGGACATGCAGCCTACTCTTCATTGAATTTCAAATGACAAGGACAACATCTACATGTATCGTACCTCAGTTTTTGGTCCCATCCGAATGACTAGATACTGTTTCTTGTCAGGCCCTCTTGTCCTGCACGCCTGACAAGGGGAAACCACGCTGGAATATCCTGGGCAACTTTCTGAGTAAACAGAAAAAACTGGATCCAGGTAAATATAAAATATGGTATAGAAAATGAATTAAAAGAAAAAAAAAAGTTGAAAACATCAGACAGGTGACCCTACTCCTTGTCACGCACAACCAGGAAATCGAAACCATGCTAGTTGACTAAATGACAGACCTTATGATAGAACACGCACGCGCTAACCATTTGGCCATCCACCAACCCCTCAGTAATTGTATTTTACACAGAAATTATGACCTGTACAAAATGTATATAACTAAATAAGTTAATACAGTTATCATTTACAACTGTCAAATATCCATAGACTTCAGCCTTGTCATGACCTTGGTAAAAGTTCAAGATGACATTTTGTATATTCAAAAAAAGTGACAAGTGTTTTCCGGACAAGATTAGGACTCAGGATGTAAACAGTTATTTGATTGACAGGTCATTGTACGGTTAAACAGGTGAACCGATTCAATAACATTATTAACCAGTATTCCTTGTCTGTTTTGTTATTGTTTAAATACAGGTATTTAGTGTGGGTACATGTATTTACTGTGTCACTTCCAGTCTTTTCACCGCCACTAACAAATATGCATTAATTAGCATTCTTGCTGTTGAAATTTTGAACTGATGTTGCAAAGAAAATTTTGAACAGACCCCATACCATCACATCTTCCAGCCTAAAATTGAAACTTTGGTTTATGATTGTTTCTGTTTGCCATTTGCGTATAAATGTTTTTTGTTCCATCATCTAATGGGTTTGGATTCAGCTCAACAATTTAATTAGCTGATCCTGCAAGAAGCATGAGGTTCTCTGGGGAATTGCTTCATTTTTCTAATAAGGGCATATCTGTAATGCAATCTAATTATATTTAATTACTTTCAGCACCCCATCTTCAATAGAAGGCTTGATTTCGCGATTGCTAAGACCCCCTAAAGATAAATTTTAAATGTTCCTATTATTTATTAGAACAGGTTTCGCTTTAGTTTTTATATTTTACGCTGAAATTTATTAGTTTAAATCTTCCTAGTGCTAAAACGGAAAATGTGACTTTTTGACCTCTGGGGTCACAAAGAACAAAGGTGAATTTAGCCAGTTTACATTTTTATTGAAAGTGTGATTACTTTCGATCATTTTCAGCTTATTTTCATAATACAAGAATGACTGTGCATTCACTTTCAGTGCAAATGAACCCATTTGACCTTTGACCCCGAATATCTCGAAAATGCCCCAACGGCGGACTGATTACCGCTCGGCATTGTATTCTACGCAAAATTTTATTCTAGAAAAGTTGGGTGTGGTTTTTTGCCCATTTGATGGCCACCCCCCTCGCGCTGAGCCTTCGGTCTAAATGTATGTTATCTGTTAATATAATATATTGTACTGGGTACTTAACAAATTATAATAACTATGGTTTATAATAAATACAACACTATATGTTATCTGTTAAAAATTGTACCGGGTGTAAACAAATTATAATATCTATATAAACGTCAATATATTGACTAACCAATCATATTGATCCTTGTTGTGGTCTATTCACTAATGGATAACTAATAATAAACATATAAATATCAACAGGATGTATAGAATGTTCATAATCGGTCGGATCAGTCACATCAGGATGTATTGAAATTTGTTTCATCTGATTGGTCATATACTCGGTCAGTCACATTAGGATGTCTGCCATATCACCTCAGAGGAAAGACACGTTAAAATACATGTGGCAAGGTCGTTTTTAAACATACATTATGGAAGAGCTACATGTAAATCTGCCTATTGCAGGTCTTTCTTTAGACCTGAAATGTTATCTAAAATATTAATTAGATATTATCAAGACCATAATCAACTCTTGATGCCATCATTAGCCTTTGATATTTAGTGGATTTGAATACATGTACTTTTTTGTTGTGGATGAAATAACCGTAAAAATGGATAATCAAGGCTAGCTTAAAATTGAATCGCCAAGGGTTGAGAGTGAAGCAATTTGACTGAAATTTTAAGCATATTCTCTTTTCGTTATCTATATTTTAACTATTATAATGAGAACTGCCAGCTCTTTATCTACTCTTACCTAATTCCCCTTTAATCTATAAAAAAAACAACCATGTCCAGTCTTTAAAGTATTAATATTGTTATTAATTTAAAAAAACCAAAAAAAACCCAACATATTGTGACATGCCTTCTAACAACTTCTTTCTATGGAGTTACAACATACTATATTATGGTCATCTTATCAAAGCTTATTATTATAAACCTCCACATTTCTTAAATACAACTTTTGAAAACTCTTAATTCTTAAATTAATTGGCTGCTAAAATAACTTTGTTTACACAGAAAGTGACGTTGTCCAGAGATAAACAATGGACATCATTCAAAAATATCACAATAACCAGAGCATAAAAACTGTGAGAATTTCTAAATTAATATGAATATTCAACACTTAGCATGATTAAAAGTTGATTTATGACAACAAATTTGTCTTGCGTACATAGACTTATTGTCTTTTTAAGAAAGTGACAGAGAAATGAGATTTAACTTCCATATTGTCTCTTTAAATAAACTTATTTAACACCCACACACTAATATTAGAGAGAGAGAAATGGGGTTAAACGTCCACTCGACTTCACTCAACACAACTTCGTCATTTCGGGACTAACATATGGTTCAATTTTATTTAAATAATTCGCTTGTGCGTAGGTGTCTTTAGCAGTGGGAGGAAACCAGAGGACATAGAAAAAACACACGAGGTTGGACAAGCGACCGTAGTCCTTGTCACGTACATCCGTACAATCGAAACCACGCCAGTTGACTCAATGACAGACCTCATGACACAGCATGCACATGCTTTCAATTCAGCCATCCAACACCCTAGGAAGTGAGAGAGAGAAATGAGATTTGACATCCATATTGTCCCTTTAAATAACCCTATTTGACACACACACACTAATATTAGATGTCATGGTTGATTAACATTGATGAGCAGCAGGACATGATTATTAAAAGTTCATTTCATTGGAGGATCGGACATTCGCCTATTTATTTCATTTTTATTTAATTTCATATGATTGTTCATATCAACGCATGGTTAGCCACACCAGGATGTAACTATCACATTATCACTATCAGGAATAATTATTTTTGATCCAGTTTAATTAAAATTAGATGTTCTTCAATTCCTTTTCATTCGTTTTATATTCTGTATTTAATATTTACCTGTTTAAACTTTACTTACTAACGAAATGAAATGGGGTTTAACATCCTACTTTTCTGCACCAACTGGGATAATGACCAAGAGAATATGCCATGCAGTATGTTATAATGAAAATATTGCCTGTACAGAAATATTTCCATTTACTCTTCTTGAAATTCCAACAGCCATAGGATCTTTTACATGCATGCCAACATGTACAGACGACTTTGGCTTTGCGTCCAATGTAAATGACTACATGCTGTTCCTACCAGTCGATGCTGAACAGTAGATTTCATTTCATTTCTTTAATACCACTGGTATTTAAGGCTGGGAATCGATATGAAATTTCAATATCGATTATCGGCAAGAATTTGTCAGCGATTATCGATAATAATCGATTATCATTTTTCTGGAAAAATCCGAACTTTACCGACCTGCTATTTGTGTTGGTCGACACAGGCTACCACTATTT